CAACTGAAGCTGGTCAAACGCCGACTTGAAGAGAATGTCCGCCGAGCTACCTGAATCAACAAGTACGCGCCTGACTTCGAAGTCGCTGATCCTTAGTTTTATGACAAGGGCATCATCGTGCGGGTAGTGGACCCCTCGCGCATCGTCTTCCGTGAAGAGAATCGGTTCCTCCGTTTTCGGCCTCTTTGGAGGGTTTTGTTCTTCTCAGGCAGCTTCGCGAATTGACGCCCGAGCCGCTGCCGAAGTACAACCCGCTACCACCGAACCTCCTACTATCACGTGGATGGTTCCCCGAACTGGCCTCTCTTCCGGAGGTTGTCTTTGCGACGGTTCGGCCAGCCTGTTGCTGGACTCAGGGGCATCCTTACCGTGCTCCCCTTGCCGACTTGTCTTATTATTATTATTATTATGTTGTACAAAATTTCTCAAGTACCCACGACGAATGAGTTTCTCTATCTCGTCCCAGAGATTATTACAATGTTTGGTACTATGACCGTGATCTCTATGGAAACTGCAGTATAAGTTTTTGTTCCTCTCGTTTGGGTTCCCTTTTAGGCGAGGTGGCCATATTACGTACGGGGCGTCTTTGATCGTCATCAAGATCTCGGCCCGCCTCGCGTTTAAGAGTGTGTAGTCCGTCCGAGCTGCTAAGGGAGCTTGGAACGGCTATTTCGGCTTCGTCTCCTGGACTGGATCTTTCCTTCTTCTGTCATCTGGGTTGGAGGGCTCGCCTTCCCTCTTCCTTTTCTCGATCCCGCTTTCGGTCCTTTGGTTGATCTCCTCCTCTGTTCTCATGAATTTATCCGCGAGCTTGAGGAATTCAGCTACGGTTGCGGGCTGGCTAGCTACCATGTGCCACTTGAACTCCTTGTGTGTCACTCCTCTCTTGGCTGCCACGAGCTGCACTACGGGGTCCAGTCGCGGTATCTGCAAGCACGCATCATTGAACCGCTTGATGTAGCCCCGGATGGACTCTCCTTCCCTCTTGACTACTCCGAAGATGCTTTCCTCAGTTCTGGGGCACTGCTTGCTGGTAACAAAGTGTGCGGTGAAGACCTGCACGAACTGGGTCCAGCTTTTTATTGACTCGGGGGCCAGGTTTCTGTACTAGGTGTAGGCCACCCCCTGAAGGTGGTAGTGAAGGCCATGCACATGCATGATTCACTGGCCCTTGCCAGGTGCATTTGGGACTGGTAGGCATCGACGTGGTCGTTGGGGTCGAAAGACCCATCATACTTGTCTAAAGGGGGGAGTTTGAAATCTCTGGGCATGGGGACTGCAAGGAGTTATGATGAGAGGGGGGAAGGGACTGAGAGAATAGGGGCAGCTTTTACCTCGTCTGAGCTTGCTTCTTCTTTACCTCGGAGCTCGGGCAGGACTCGGGTGGCAGTTTGGCGACTTCGTCGGCGTCTTCATTGCTGGGTGGGCCTGATACTGGCACTGCTGGCCTCTGTGTTGCCGAGCTCGATGGGCCCAGACTGTTGGTAGTCCGCCGCTAGGACGCTGAATCGGTTCTCTGTGGGCGGGAGCTCATACTTGGAGTGTCGAGGTGCTGACTTGGCGGGCGAGGTTCCCGACCTGCCAGCGAGATGCGAGGCAGGGGTGATTTTTCTTTCCCCTGGCCCGGGGATGAGGCCTGGCTCTTGGGGGGGTTTTGAAGTTGGGAGGCTTCTCCTCGGTGATGGCGTCCGCCCTAAGGGGAGGGCTTAACCGGCTTTGGAGCAGGGTGCTGAGGTGGAAGCTGTGGTTGGTTCAGAGGCAGTTGGGGGAACTGCTGCTGATAGTGATACTAAGAGATGTGGTGCAGTACTTGGTGCTGTTGGAACTGTTGCATTTGGGCTTGCATTGCCCGCATGCATTGCATCAAGTCATCAAACTGGTTCTGGATGGTCGCCAGGGGGACAGCAGTTGGTTCGGTAAAGGTTGTCTCGACAGGGAGAGGAAGGGGGACGTTCATGGCGGGAAGGTTCACGGGCACCACTGTTCATGGCGCATTCAGGCTGGGGATCCTATCCACCGGAAGGGGGATGGTGAACTGTCTGATGCACACCACGGGGACTTGAAGTTGTTCCCCGGTGGCATTCATCTCCGTGCTACGTCCGACATTGCTGGAAGAAGCCATGAGTGTTGGGGTTTCTTGGAAAAAAGGGGTTATGAGAGTTTTAGAGGGAGGCTTTTAGAAGCGTTTCCCACAGACGACGCCAATTGATGGTGTGCGATCCGGTCGGTCCTAGCTATCAACAACCTTGCCTCTGACTGGAGCAATAGGTGCCTGAAACAAGGAAGAAGGCGAGGAGTCTCCGGGGAGGAACCCGATGAAAGTGCTCCGAAGCTCAAGTTAGTATTTCCTCAAAGGCAAGATAAAAAACCAGATGGCGCAAAGTTATCACATACCTCTCCGGGGCAAAGTTATCACATACCTCACTGCCAGTTCTGCCAGTTCGGGTGTCATCACCTCTACTGGGGCAAAACCGCCACTGCTCTCCTTGTTGGAGCCATCTCTATAACTGGAGGTGGCGGTGGCAGGTGGTCGTTGAAGTGCGGTATCAAGCATCAGATCCTAAGTCAGTCAGGTGCGCCGCCTCAAGATACAGACTCCTTTGGTGTCAGGTACGGTACGATTGCTCAGTTCGGCGTCCTGGAGACGAAGTGCTGGAGTGGTGTGCGAGGTGAAGTCTTGAGTTCGGATAAAGGTGTGGCCCAAACTACCCTGGGGCGGGCCAGTTCGGGTTGTTGCCCTTTGTGCTCATCGTAAGACTCGGGGTCAAAGGGAGAGTTCGGGCTCCTTTTGGGGAACTCAGACCGCTGGTTCCTCCTTTCGGAGCTCGCGCCTTGGATGTACTGTCATGCCGAGCTGTTGCCTCTGCCACGTGTTGAGTAGTTATGAGGTCGGGCCAAATCTTCCTTCATCAGTTCTTTGGTTTTACTACAACGGTCCCAAGAGGTGAAGAGTGACAGGGGAACTTGCAAAACAAAAACACAACAGCCCTCCTCTTCACCATTTATAAGTTCCAATACATCTAGCTATTTGGTTCTATATGTCTATTCTCTTTAAATGTAAACCTGTAAAAATAACTATTTTATATTATTAGAAAAATGAAGAAAATAAATGATGGAGACCTTTTCTATGTTAGGAAAGAAGAAAATAATGTCGACCTCTGTGGTCGACAAAGACTTCTTGAGGTTAATGAACTTGCAAAACAAAGAGAAGAGTGATAGGGTTTTTTTTGTATGATCAATAATAGCTTCTTTGTGCTTATTGAACCAATAGCTGAATGGTACTACAAAATGAGGACACTTGTGCAGTTGCATTCATTTTGTAAAAACAGGTGTACGTAAAATAGAAACTAACCCTTTTTGCTTCCTGTCATGCAGCTTTAGACAGATAGGTTAGAATAAAAAAAATGAAGGGATATAATTAGAACTAAAAGAGTAATTCTAATTTTTATATATGGTTAGTTAATTAATAGAAATTAAATAATATATGAGAATGGGACAAACATGCATTTGCAGGGGTAATATTGAAAAAGCAAAATCAGAGTGTTCGACCATTCTACTTGTCTCATTCTCATTTTTATATATGGGTAGTAATAGAAAAAAAATCATATTTTTCAAAGAATTCAGCTTTCTCTCTATGCAAAATTGAGGATCAATGTATGTGGGGAATTGGCAGAGGGAAAAGAGCAATGAAATTGAAATTCAGACACAGAGATTACGACGGGAGAAGGAAACCTTTTACCACAATATTCAAGATATCCCAACCAATCCCAAGGAACTGTGGGGCCTTGAGATAGACTATGATGATACATTGACCCTAGAAATCTATTGAATAGTTACCAGATGTTGATGATGCAGAGCCATTGCCTTCACCTTGTCAAAATACTGCAGATAAATCTGCTACCACACCAGTCGGTACCAACAATGGCAACTCTCTAGAATCGGACCTTGAATTAGTTGCTGTGCTGCTCAAGAACCCGGAGCTGGTTTTTGCCTTGACATTTGGCCAGTGTGGCAACTTTATGGAGATCACATCTCCACCCCACAAGGGGTTGCCCCACAACGCCCCACAGTACATTTCTGCCGTATATTGAGAATATTTCTCATAATAATATCATCGGTTCTATATTATTATCGGGAGATGTCTTCAATACATATTGATAAAAAAAAAGATGTCCTCAATACACGGTGATAATGTGCTGTGGGGGAAGATGTGAACTCAACTTTATGAGTGAAGAAATACTAAAACTGTTGGGTATGATCAAGGCTAGCGGAATTGGTCTACCCGAGGGTGTTGTGGAAAAGCCGAATGGAAGCTGGAAATCACATAAGGCCCCAAGGGTTTGTTGCAGCCACCTGTTTGAGCTACCAACGGGTGGCGTTGGTTTCTGAGTAGCTCCTGCGGTCATTCCTTCCATGCCTGCTGCTCTATCATCGGCCACGATGCCTCAAGAAAACAAAAGTGTACTTTTTGCTCACAAGAATTGCAGCGTGCTTCGCCATCGAGAGATTTAAACGTTTAAAGCTCAGTTTGGTAGGAATATAAATACAAATATGTAGAGTGTAAAATCATATACTTTATATATATTTGAATTGTATATATTTATATTTATATTTTTTTTTAAACTGAGCCTAATTATAAATCTATGATCTACTTTTTTATCTTTCTGAAAACTTTTATTGATTGAATTTTTATTTTGAAAATTTGAAAAATAATTAAAGATAAATTTAACATTTTGTTTTTTCGTTAGTCAAATTTTAAAAAGATTTGCCATTTTTTTATAGTTTGTCTCACTTGAGTTGGGGAGGTGGGGCCGGGGGGTTATGGGTTTTTGCTGTGATCGCCCATCCAACGATCCAATCTAAAATTTAACCAAGAATAGATTGGACATTTTCCCTCCACCGTCACCGTTAAGCATAACGGTTAATTCTCTCTCTCTCTATATATATTTTGAGAATAAAAAAAACACAACACCTAGGTATTTCTACTTTTCTAGTGTTGTTTGTAGAAGATTCGGACTCTTTCAATGGACTCTAAAGTCTTAAACTCAAACCATTAATTGGGCCTTAAAAAAAACCATTAATTATGTATTTCCCTTCCTTTCCTTAGCCGTTTCTTTATTGGGAATTAACCTCTTTTCTTCTTTCAGTCCTCATTGGGTTGCAATCGCTCCCTCAGTACATTCCTTCCCGCTGCCAGTCTGCCACCTCTGTTGTCCAATTAATCTATCCTTCGACTGGTAAGTTCCCATTTGCTTCTCTCTCCTTGTTGAACTTAGATGACCGTAAGTGGATTATGATTTCATTTTGCAAGTTCTTTCTCTTTTCTTTTCTTGAATCTCCATTGGATTTCTAAAATTTGGACTGGTTTGTTAGATGCTAAATTCGATGTTTGAGGGTTTAGTTGTTTTACTACGACATTGATTCAGTAGACACATGCATATAACTATATATACATGCTGGGGTTCTTATCGATGCGCCCTCTCCTTGTCTGCTTACGGGACACGATGGTTCTTTCAGGTGTTAAATTTGTTTCTACCGCTCCACCTCCACGTACTAAGGTTCTTAATATGTCAAAAAACACTAATTGGTTTTTTCCTCTTTGTTTTGGATGCGATAGTTGTCTAAGGTGCTAATTTTGATTCTTTCGCGGCCTTACCACAATTGTTGATTCAGAAAAGATTAGATGTTGAATACACCTCGCACTCGCAATCCCTTATTGTTTGTGTCTTAGAGGCAAAGGCAAGCACATAAACACAAACAAATATACCACTTACCAAATTCAGGCAAACTAAACTACTGATGCCTCATTCTTTCTTGCATTAAATTCACCATTATGCGTATGTGATTTTATTTTCTGGATTGATATCATTATCGTCATCATCATTATCATCATGCATTGTGTTACACACATCTTGTTTGTGTTTTGGAAGCACTGAGTACACACAAATTCATAGCTTTTGCTTCCAAATTTTCAAGCAAAAATATATTATTACCTGAATGTAACCACATCTAATTTTTTATGTTTACGTTCTCTAAAGATCAGAACATATCATTCTTACAGAAGAACACCTTCTACATGAACATATCCCATTTCATGACTTCCCATTGACTAACTTACTATCTATTCTCCCATGTAATATAAGACAATAAATTGATTACTTGAACAACATATTTCTGATTGATGATGGATGGTGGGGTAGGCTCTATTCAGGTTACCCTCATTGCCATTCTCTATTAACTTTTTAGATCAATTTTCTGTTCTCTGTGACCATCCCTAGGAATGTCAATGGGTTGGGTTAAATGGTAAACCTGGCTTAACCCGACCCTATAGGGTTGGGTTAGGGTCAGGTTCTTTGGGTGTAAGGTTAGGTTCTGGTTTTGATGCTTTAACCCAAATCGAGTTTGGATTTTTCTATTCCAGCCTTCCAGCTTATGATACATCTACAAATATAGAGGGTATTTTTGTAGTTTGGTAATGACTTTAACCACATAGCCTTAAAGTTTAGGATTTTCTTTTCATGTCTGTTTTCATTTTTCTTCCTTCACTATGGAGGAATGACACCCTGGAACCCATAAAACAAATTCCAACTTAAATTAATGGCTCTTGGTTTTTCAAAATGTATTATAAAAATACAGATGAGAGACTGTGGCTCAAGTTGTGTCGGTATTGTGTTGAACCCTATAGGGTTGTGTTGGGTTCGGAAATTACATGTTATGAAGTCAGGTCAGGTTTGGGTGGAAGCATTGGAGGGTTGGGTTAAGGTGAAGGCAAACCATACTGAACCCGACCTGTTGATATGACCATCCTTATTTTCCATTCGTATTCTCTTCAGACATTTTTTGTTTAGCCTCAGTTTAAAGAATTATTTCTTAGGACCCTTTCCCCATCTTTCTGTTATACATACTGTATTGCCTTCGAATATTACTGGTTTAGTGTCATGTAGATGTTGTTGACCTGTTGAGTTGGGAGTCCTCTTCTTATATTCTTATTTATATATTCACATTGTTCAAACCAAAGCAGTTGTCTATTCTTCTTATTATTCAATTCCAATATTGTATCTTGTGAGAGATCTGCATAGGGTGTTTAGAATGAAAATGTTTGTTGCAGTGGCTGCGAATATGAAATAAAAGAATTTAATTTGTTGAGTCTCAGTTATGATCTTAGTATTGGTTTGAATCAGAAATTCCATCTAATTGTATTTGTGAAATTTGACACAAAATGTAGGTTTCAAACAGATCAAAAGTGCAACCTTAGCTTTTAATTAAGTAGTGTATGAAAGTGGATCTATCCTGAGAGCATGAGAAAAGATGCTGATAATCAAGTAGTGTATGAAAGTGGATCTATTCTGAGAGCATGAGAAAAGATGCTAATAATAGACCAGTGTCATCTATACATAAAAAATGAGATATAATAGTCCTCCCTCTGTTAATGAACAAAATTCTTGCATGAGCTGTTTTCCAGTCTCTGAATCAGGACAATGATTGCAGAATGCACTTGATTCAACTATATGTATTTTTTGCTATCAGTGTTACTGATTTAATTTGTGCATACTTGCCATGCTATATTTGCATTCTTTGCTTCTTAGCAGGCTTATTGGCATTTGGTATCATCTGATATATTGAGTGTAGTCCATAGCCTCTTTTTTTGAGATGTCTTTCGAGTACAAAAGGAGAAGCAAAGGTTTAAGCAAATTGTGCTTGAGCATATACCATGTCATCGTTTTGCTACTTGCATATTTATTACATGATCAGCCTTTCTGCTTCTTATAAACATACTTTCAGGGGCAAAAGATTTAAAAATCAGAATGGTGGATGCAAACTCAGTAATGGTGGTAATTAGGGCTTCTCGTCCCACTTTCAGAAATGCACATGACAAAATAGCTTTTGCAGTTCATGCATCTTTTCTTGCTTCAGACTACATCCTTACAGCTACTGGGCATCCTGCTTTCTCTGAAAGTGCTTTATCATCTTCTTCAGGTAAGCTTCACATTAGTTTCATTGATTTCACCATTTCTTCCTCTGCCCCTCCCCCTCTTGGTTTTCTTAACTTTTCCTTTTGAAAAATAACTTCTGTTTCTTCTATGGGTAGATGAAGTTGGTATAGAGGGATGGAATGACACTGATGACTCCTATGGTTTCGTCTATGTGAATGAATCAAAGGGCTCAAAGATATCAGTCATGGTGAAATGTTTGGTGATGGGGGATAGTTTGATTGTTGATGCACTGCTTATTGGGAATGGAGAAACAAAACCTCTGAATATCCAAATCAAGTAGTGATTCTTTTAGATCTTGATATTAGTTTTTCCTTCTTGTTTTATTTGTGTAATTGTTTTGATTCTATTCCTGTTATTGATTTGGCGTTTTCTGCAGTGTCAATGACTATGATGGCAGGAGTGAGGGCACTAACTATTCACAGATGTATAAGAATTTTGGTGAGCTTGTGAGGTGTTTGGATTCTAATATCTTGTCCAAGTTGAAGGAATCACTAATGGTTCCAAGCAGTTCATCTTCTTCCCTTCCAAGGTACATAATTTGAACTCAAGTATTGTTCATTAACATTTTTAGTTTGGTTGAATCACAATTTTTCAGTTTAGTCACAGATTCCATGCAAAAGATGGGTTCCTAATCTTCCATAGCATAAAAACTGAAACATTCACTTGCATTATCATATGCTTACTGATCTCATACTGAGCTAGGACCAGTCCTTGAGAGAGTTGTCATCATCATCATTTAAGCCTTGGTCCAACTATATGGGTTTGTCTACCTGAATCATGTTCCACTATTCTGTCCTGTTCATTATCATCTCCATTGTTCAATTATGGGCCCTGAAATCATTTCTCATTAACCTGTATCCTTTTTGGCTTGCCCCTATCTCTTCTAGCCCCTTAAACTTTTAATAGATCACTTCTTCTTACTGGTGCTATAGATGGTCCATCTGACTCATGTTTGCACATTCCCAAATCATCTTAGTCTACTTCCCCCATTTTATCACCTTTTGGAGATACTTCTGTTCTGATATCAGTGGACTGATGACAAATGGGGCATTAATTGTGTGCCGCTTCAAAGGCCTGATGGGAAACAGGAGCCTTTGTCACAGAGAACGTCTCTTTTGTTGAAGTGTGTGTAAGCTTTACATGGTTTTTGCTTGTTTAATCTTGGATAATCCTATGTAATACTATAGTTACTTTCTATATTAAAAACCTTAGGAATCATGGGACCTCTGTGTGGAAGAGACAGATTGTTGATCAAATCTTAATTGCAAACGAACGTGTGGAGGAGGTGAAGAGAAGGAAGAAAGGGATTGTATGTAAGCTGGATTTGGAGAAAGCTTATGATATGGTAGATTGGTCATTCCTAATGCAAGTGATGGAATGCTTTGGATTTGGAGTGAAATGGTGTAAATGGATCTGGGGGTGTATTGAGACTTGCCACTACTCAATATTGGTTAATGGGACAGTAGTGGATCACTTTACGTCCATTAGGGGAATTTGACAAGGTGACCCTCTTTCTCCATCACTTTACGACCATTAGGGGAATTCGACAAGGTGACCCTCTTTCTCCCTTTCTTTTTACCTAGATAGCAGATGTGTTGGGGAAACTAATAGAAAGGGCAGATGCTAGGAATCTAGTGAAGGGTTGGAGGGTGGGAAGAGATGGAATACCTATCACTTACTTACAACGTGCTGATGATACAATCTTGTTTTGTGATGGGGAGGAGGTGGGGTGGATTAGGAACTTGAATATGGTAGTGCAAATTTTTTAGAAAATGTCAATTTGAAGGTCAATTTTGATAAAAGTTGTGTAGTGGGGATCAACATGGAGTAGAGTGCTATGATAGTAAGTGCTGAAATCTTGGGGTGTGAGGTGTCACAGTGGCCAATGAAGTATTTGGGGATGCCTCTAGGGGATAACAACTTTTGGAGCCCGGTGGTTGGTAGATTCATGAAGAGGTTGGCTTCTTGGAAGAAGAATTATTTATCCTTGGGCGGCAAAATTACTTTGATAAAGTCCACTTTGGCTAGTCTGCTAGTGTACTATCTATTAGCTTTCAGGATCCTTGAGGGTATAAGTAAGAGTTTAGAGAAATTGATGACAGATTTCTTGTGGGAGTCGGGGGAGGACAAGAAAGACCATAGGGTGAAATGGGAGATAGTCTCTAGAAGTAGGGAGGAAGGAGGCCTGAGTTTAGGAAACACTAAGAAGAGAAATGAAGCGTTGTTGGGGAAGTGGTTATGGAGATTAGCAGAGGACAAAGATAAGCTGTGGGCTAAAGTGATACCGAGTATACATGGGCTTTCTGAGGATGGGTGGGACTATGTACTAGTGGCAGGGACCACTAAAGCCTCTCCTTGGAGATCCATTCACGCCATCCTCCCCTCATTTTTGCAGCACATTAGGTATGATCTCTGTTTTGGTAACCAAGTAAAGTTTTGGGAAAACCTCTAGGTGGGAGGAATGCCTTTAATAGACAAATTTCCTTCTTTATTCTCCATTTCTCGGCTTAAAGGGGAACCTGTGACTTTTTTCTTGGTCCCTTTTGAGTCCACCTTTGGGTTTGATTGGGATTTGGGTTTTAGAAGAGGTCTCAGGGAATTAGAACTTGAGAGTGCTTTGGAGTTGGTTCAGATTTTGAAAGGGTGGTGTTGGACCCCTCTAAAAGGGATAACAGAATTTGGACCTTAACCCCTTCTAGAGTCTTTTCATGTGCCTCTATATCTGCTAATAGTAGCTTCCAGAATTTTCCTATGAAGTTTGGGGTAAACTGATCCCTTTGAGGATTGGAGCTTTTTGTTGGGAAGCCTTCTTGGAAAGATGTAATACCTGTGGTTTTCTCCCAAGGAAAAGGCCAAATAGGTGCTTGACTCCACACTGGTGCATCCTATGGTGGTCGTAGAAAAGGGGTAAAATCATGTGGAGATGTGTGAGAGCGGCCATCTGCTGGACTCTGTGGGAAGGAAGGAATTTAAGGACCTTCTCTGAGAAAGAAAGGAAGAAAGAAGAGCTGATTGAAATCATAACAGTTAAGGTGATGCAATGGCTGAAAACTTTGGAGCTGTTTCCTGATATTTCCATGGGTATGTTACCGAACAAATGGAAGGAAGTTGCATCCTCCGGGCCGGCTCGATCAATGATGTGTCCTTTGTGGCCACCTCTAGCCCTGGGATTTATGAAATTAAACTTTGATGGGAGTAGTGAAGGCTATCCAGGACCTTGAAGTGTGGGAGGAGCAATAAGAGATGAAAGTGGGAAGGTGGTCACTTTGTACTCAGGTCCCATTGGGATGGGTGACCCTCTTAGAGCTGAACTGTTAGCCTTACTTGTAGGGCTAAGGAAGGTAAAGGAACTGAACGTTCAAAAGGTGATTATTGAAGGAGATTTACGGCTAGTGTTAAATTGGTTAAGGAGGGGTAATGGGTTCTGGATTTATGCTAATGAGAGGAGGGAGGTTAAATGGCTACTGAGGGGAGTGGAATTTCATGTTCATTGGGTGAAGAGAACTACAAATGCCTTTGCTGATAATTTGGCAAAACAGGGGGTGGGTAGGGGTCAATTGTTTTGGGCAATACTGTAATTTTCCTTTTAATCCTTTGGGGGAGAGTTAAGCCATTTTATCTCTCCCTAGTTCTCTGTATGTATTTATGATACTATTAATAAAATTGCTCTTTGCTATCGATAAAAAAAAACCTTAGAAACATGAGAAGCCTAGAGTTTGGAAAACCATTTACCCTGAGCTCACTCCAAATCCTTTGGATATAATCTTTGAGCTGTTCATATTTTGAATTTGTTATTATTGATCTTCCTTTCTCAGTTTTGTCATAACACAATATTGTGGTAAATGAAATTCTTTTCAAATACTCTATATGTAGCTTTTGTAGCAGGGCAATTCTTTTGGATTTATAATTTTTAAAATTCTTATTTGCATTATCAACAATTTATTGTACCTGTATCTGCAGTTTCTCCTACTTATCCTTATTGATTTTTGTTGTTGAGGGTATGAAGGTTTGTACTAGCATGTTGACGTAGGTCTCACTATTTGGAGAGTGCATTTCCCTTTGGTTGACTTACCTCTGAGTGCAGTGATTTCCTGTATTTGTTAGCATATCATGATTTATAAGTAGCTTGTTGAACATGAATTCAACCGGAAAATCTTCTTTCCTGTGTCTGCATCATAAAATCCAGGAGGCAACTGCATTTTAACTTCTTCCTGCAAGTCTCCATTGAGGAAGGCATTTTTGACATCCATCTGGAACAAGGGCCAAGAGTAACTGGTTGCAAGGGACAATAAAACTCTAATAGTGGTCATCTTTGCTACTGGAGCAAAAGTCTCCAAGTAGTCTATACCATAAGTCTGAGTAAATCCCTTTGCAACTAACCGAGCCTTATACCTTTCAATGGAACCATCAACATTATGTTTCAATGGAACCATCAACTAACCGAGCCTTATACCTTTAGGCTGGTCAACTAGCTCCCAAGTATTATTCCTCAAAAGAGCATCCATTTCAACCTTCATTGCATCTTTCCACTCAGGAATTGACAAGGCCTCTTGCACTGTTCTGGGGATAGGAATATCAGCAATAGATGTGAGGAAGGACCTGTAAGAGGGGGACAAGTGATCATAGGACAAGAATTGGGAAATGCAGTGGGCTGTGGATGTGGTACAACGTCGTTTGCCTTTACAAACTGCAATGGGGAGGTCAAGGTCATCCAAAGGAGGTAAGGGCTTAATAGTGTAAGGTATCTCAGTGGAACTCGGATCCAATAAAGGAACTGTAGTACCTGGATCTGGATCCGCAGAAGGAATTGGGGCTGGCCTGGACTACTGATGACCGAAATCAACCTGCCTCCACCGCCTGTGATAGACTCTCAAATCCCAGCACCTCTGACACCCCTCCCCATAACATCCCTCATCACTCAATGGAACAGGTAAAGGAACTTCTGATGAGTTAACCCCACACTCAYTRCTCTCCCCCTGAGGAGAAATCCTAGGATAATAGGGTACATCCTCGAAGAAAGTAACATCCATAGAGACAAATCTTTTCCCAGAAGTGGGTTCATAGCAGCAATATCCCTTTTGAGTTTGTGCATAACCGAGAAAAATACATTTGGAGGCCTTAGGATCAAATTTGGAACGATGAAGTCCAAGAATCTGAACAAAGCAAGTACAACCAAAGGTTTTAAGGGGAACAGTAAACAAGTCTTTATTAGGGTAAAGGAGGGTAAATGGAGGCTTCATGTCAGGAACCCGTGAAGGAACTCAGTTAATGAGATACACTGCTGTAAGAATAGCATCTCCCTATAAACGAATAGGCACATTGGAGTTAAACATGATGCTTCTGGCCACCTCCAATATGTGCCTATTTTTCCTCTCAGCAACCCCATTCTGCTGTGGTGTATGAGGACAAGTACTTTGGTGGATAATCGTATGGTCAAGCAAATAAGAGGCTAATTGATTGGCAAAGTATTCTTTCGCATTATCGGATCTGAAGATTTTGATTTTGACCCCAAATTGGGTTAAAATCATC